GGGGGTAGGACCACAAGTAGGTGGATGGACAGGATGAGGTTCTGTGCATGATCTCCAGGTGCGCCAAAAAGGAAAACTTCCCACTGAGACAAGCCACCAGCTTTCGTGGCAAACACACCAGTTTGACTATAACTATGATTTCTTTGACCCTTGCCCCGAGTGGAGTAATATCAACATTTGTTATTAATCAAATTCACAATCCAAGACTGTATTCATTGTCGTCTTGCATCACCCCCCATCCCCGATCAAGGAGTCTTACAGGGACCTTTTAGTTTCCTTTAGATGAATGCTGGGGAAATTGCTGATTGAGATGAAATACTGGTATCCTACCAAACAGCACTGTACATTCAAATGTCTTTCTTAGGCTTGGCTTTGTCCAAAGGGATTTGCTAATTAGCAGGAGATCCTGAGACAAGGGTCTCAGAACGTGATGGGAAGGGGAGGAGAGGTTGAACGGTGGGTTGCCGGCCCTACATCTGGTAGTTGTTGGTAATTGTTGTGGATTGCCTAAGCCTATTTAACACTTGTTCACTATTCTTTAGAGCTTACTTGTCTTTTCTGACCTTTGTAACATTGACAGATTCCTTTTTATTGGAGATGAACTCAAGATTAAAAGAGAGAAAGAGGGGCTTGGGCTAGGGTTGAGGGTAACATTCCTCTAACTCACCAGCACTAGAGGACAGTGTTTCATTCAGTTCTCCATCATTTATAACATGCTTCTGAAGTTGTTTAGCCTCTGGCAAACAGCAAGTACAGTACCTCTCACCAAATAAACTGGTTAAGTGTAACCGATGTTCCTACAGTGCACAACCAACACAGCCTCTCCTCTAGCTAGTTTTTTGTGAATTGGTCTGGATTTATAATAGGAAAACATGGTTACCCTCTGATGAATAGCAGAAACTTGCGTTTCCTGACACACCATTTACCTCAGCTGCTAAACGACAACACATTGAGCTTGGGCAGAGAAACAATGACAAGTGATATCTTGATAACTTGGAGAGGGACAGATTCAAATTAAATTATTTAATGGCATTGGTAAAGTTCTATCACATAGAGAATTTTCTGAGAATGGTAAGGCAAAAATGTAAATACCAAACATTACAAGTCAAAAAGAAATAGCAGCTTTTTATAGAAGTCTAGTTACAAACCTTACCTCCAAGAGGAGGAGAAATTCTGAGCTCTGGTCTGATCCGTTCAGAGCCAAAGTCAAAAGTCTGACTTTCTTCACTGCTGTTTCCATCTTCAATTCCATCAACAATCCTATTTAAAGTAACAGAAATTGGTCGGTTATAGATTTATATTCATGGGTTCCAGTCTTTCTAGAAGACATTAAAAAATATTGTGTTAGGTTTCTAAACTCTAGAGAAGCTAGAGCTGTGCTATCCAATATGGTAGCCTTGAGCCTCATATGGCTATTGAGTACATGAAATGAGGTTAGTGCAAACTGAGATGTGCTGTAAATATAAAATATACACTGGATTTTGAAGAATTAGTTAAAATAAAGGAATGTAAACTACTTCATTATTTATCTTTATATTGTTCACATTTAAAATGATAATATTTTGGGACATATTGAGTCAAATAAAACATATCATTAAAATTAATTTCACTTGTATTTTTTTCACTTTTTAAAAATGTGGCTACTAGAAAATTAAAAATTACATATGTGGCTCACAATTTTAGCTCATATTATATTTCTATTGGACAGCAATTCTGTAGAGTTTAAACTCTTCTATTTATTCTTAGATTCAAAACTTTAAGATACAGAACTCCTCTTACCTAAATTCATATTAAATTACTACTCTATGTAGGAGAAAATGTTTTAACCTACTGAGTATAGCATCACAGAAAATAAATTTGATGACACTTCCACTCTAGACTTTGACAAAACTCTGGATGTGAGAGTTAAAGAATTACATAAATTACTATCAGGATGTTAGCTAATCTTGGTTCCCTGGTAAATAATATTTAACCCATTAATTATTAAAAAAAAAA